TTCTGAGACAAGATCTTGCTATGTAGCCCAGGATGGCCTCAAACTCACAACAGTCCTGCCTCATGCTGAGATTAAGACACGTGCCACCTGCCTGGCCTATTTTATATTTTAAATTATTTTACTTTTACTTGTTTGTATTCTTGGAAATATTTTCCACTTGTCATTTGCAGAGCAAAAGCAGTGTTTTAGCAAAAAGCCTACATTAAGAGCCGATTCTGAACTCCTTTCATATTCACTGGAAAGCTTCAGTTTTCTGGTGATGGACTGAAGAAGCCACACACAGTTCTAGTTTCTCATCCCCTGGCTGGGGTCCTGCTGGGGTTCTGCTTTCAGAACCCTGGAAGGTATGGGATTTGACATAGACATGAAACATCATCTTGACTCTCATCTGCTTGAAGTGGGCCTTTTCCTTTCTTTATTCCTCAACCCCCAATGTCCTGACTCCTAATTTGAGAACTCTAATGCCAGATATTTCCAGCGACCACCCACATCTTGGGCCTTCTGCATTGAGCAGGCACGGGGATTGGCATTTTCCTGGTACGCTAGGCTAAGTGACACAACCGCCTGGCATTGCTGAGTCTCAGTCCCTTTGCAACTGCGTGAACCAAGGTCGCTCTACCCTCTCAGCTTCCTGTTTTCCTCCTTGAAATCTCAAAGTTGCAGTAAGTCACTCATGGTAGGTGCTTACTAAATAGAAACTCTTTTGATTTTTTTACTTCGGTACCGGGGATCAAACTCAGGATCTTGCACTTGCCAGGCAGGCGTGGTGCCGCTGAGCTACATCCCTGGTCCTTCTTTTGGTTTTTTTTTTTTAATGAAACTATACTTCTTTTTCTTCCAATGGTTGTCTTTATGAAGACTATACTTTTAAAAAGTGTTATGGGCCGGCCCAGGGATTTAGCTCAGTGATTCTGCGGCCTGCCTCACAAGTGCAAGTTCCCGAGTTCAATTCCCAGTACCAAAAATAAATAAATAAATAAAGTGTTAGAACTAGGACAGATACTAATGCCACTACCACCATCACAATCTGAACACTTACTTTTCTCTAGAGCTTGTAGTTTATGGAGAAGTCTGCTTATTTCAGAACAGGTCCTGGTAGTAAGAATGCTCTTCATTTTCTCATTAGGGGACCGGTTTAAGTCTCCCAGCAGTTTGAGGCCAAGGCAGGTAGCTCATCAGCATCCACCTTGCCTGGGTTATCAGGAGGCAGTGTGAGCCCAGCTCTTTGCAGGCAAGGTTTGTCCCTCCTGGATGGAGAGACATCCTGCTGTATGAAGGGTAACTTCCCCTCACATAGTCCGAGAACAACAGTTAGCATTGGGACGGTGAACAAGGAGGCCCAGAGGTACACTGGAATTCATCTTTGTGTGGCTCACCAGTGGTTTGTCCCCATGCCCTCCTCTACCCAGTGTGGTGCCTGATGAGTGCCTTGTTGAGGCCCCTTTTTGGAGCCCTGTGCTGGCTGCTTCCTCTCTAGTATTATCTCAGAACCTCCTAGCAGTCCTGAGTTAGGAATTGTTATGTGCATTTCACAGATGAGGAAAATGAAGTTCACAGAAGCCAGGGGCCTTGCCCAACACGGCAGAGCCGGGAACTCAATGCAGACCTGTCTGTCTGACTCTGGAGCTGTGTCCCTCAGTCAGTCACCTCCAGTCTGCAACAGAGAGAGGCCAGGAGTGTTCTCGGATGTGGACTGGCCCTCTGCTACCTGGCTCTGGTTGGTGGTGAGCCTCTTTCCATGGCTAAAGGCTGCTTCATGTGCAAACTTGAATGACTGGCTTCTAGGAGCTCTGCCTTTTTCTTGCTCTCTGGAAATGCCTGCTGGCCACGCTGGATTCTGACAGACACTTCTTCCATGGGCCAGGAATCCTTGTGCTGGTGGAGCTGCCTCTGCTTGAGGGATATTCAGGGGACATCATGCATACCTGCCAGGTGCCTGGTCTCTCACTATCACTATGTACTCCAGTTTTAAGGCTAAGGACTGAGCAGCAGAGGGACTTCCAGGGAGGGGCAGGGGCAGAGATAGGGTTTAGTTGGCTCTGTCACCAGCTCTGAAACCAACACACCTCTCATCCCCTTGTCTCCCTAATGAAACACTTGGTCTGGTTTCTAGTAGCCCCTCTGGTTCTGTTGGAAGAGGCCTGGCCCTAGCCCTCCCTCAGAGCAGGCCTTGGGCAATCACTCCACTTCCCTCAGTCTGCGTTACCTGGCGGTGAAGTGGGGCTGATTGCCATGCAGGGAGCATGCGGGAGAATCACAGGAGTCTTGAGGAACAGATCCTGGGGGGACAAGGGAGGTAAAGTGACTCCAGCCTGACCCCATGGATAATGAAAGCGGTTTGCTGCCCTGAGAACCTGTGCCTTGCTGTGAAAGCACCAGAACCACAATGCTAGAAGAGTGGGCTGTGTTTTGTTTCCTTCCTTTCATTCTTTTTAATCAAGTCACAGTGCAGTATCTTGACGCAGGCACCTCACTGAAGCACCACTGCCATTTCACTCCTCTCTTCTCTCTGCACTGTTGTCCAGGCCATCCGTGTGTTCTTCATGCTGCGATCCCTATCGCTGCAGCTTCAAGGGGAGCCTGAGACCCAGCTGCCATTGACTCGGGAGGAGGACCTGATCAAAACCGATGACGTCCTGGACCTGAGTGAGTTGGCCCCCCTGAGTCACGCCAGGGGCCCGGGGTCATAGGACACACCACTGGGAGAGTTGGGTGCATGGCCTATGACTGTGGGCAGTGTGCACATTCTGTGGAAGTTCTGAAGGAAAGAGTCCCAAGTGTGGATTCTGCCTTCCATATGGCCACAGCAGCACTGCTTTGATGGTATTGTGTGTTAAGGGTTTTCTAAGGATTTTTCTGCTAAAGCAAGAAAGTTTACAAAAAACAAATCACCAGTGTCTAGATAAGCTGAGTGCTTTGGCAGCCAGGGAACCATGTGTGCTTTCTGTAACCTTGGGCTACTTATTTCACTGGACAGTGGTTCAGTGTTCGCATCTGCAATATGAGGCGAGTATTAAAGGAAATAGTAAGTGGGGTGGATTTTGAATCACCGGTGGTGCACTTGCCTAGCATCCATGAAGCCCAGAGTTCAATCCTCAGCACTGCAACAAAAAAGAAGACATGCTTATAAAGCCTGTTCGTGTTCCCATAATCTTTATATTTTTACAGTCTTCTCTTTCCTGCATTTGTCATGGGTATGTGCACACTAAAGGACACCATGGTTTTCTATTTGTTAAAAGCATTGTGGTAAATTAGGAGTCTTTGGTTCTAAGAGACAGAAACCCTAATTAGGCTGGCATATGGGAAAAATGGGGAACTGGCTGATGTCACTGGAAAGACTGGGAGTGGTTCTTCCTTCAGGCATGGCTGGATCCAAACAGCATCATCAGGAAGTTTCCCTTCTCCATTTCTCAGCTGGTTTTCTGGACCAGCTTCATCCTCAAAAGGGCTCACACCACACAGTGGGAAAATGGCCACAGACAGCCCCAGAGTTTGTCAGACCAGTGAAGCAGCCCTGATGGAAGAGAGCTGCTCTTTCTATAGAAGTTATGGAGAGGTCTAGAGTAGAGCCCTCCTTAGCCTGGCTTTGATTGTAGGACAACCTTGAACCAAGCAGTGGTCAGCGGAATATGAGGCACTGGCTGGCTCAACTGGGGTCACATGGCCAGCCCTGGAGGTGAGAAGGCCAATTCCTTCTAAACCCAATCAGCTGAGACTGAGAAAGGAGAAGCCCTCAAAGGATAATCTTAGAGAAGAGGTGAAAGCTAGGCGGGCAGAAACAGCAGATAGCCACTCTGAAGTGTTATTGTTGCTGTTTGAAATCAGCTCTGTTGGGCCGGGGATTTAGCTCAGTGGTTCCGGCACCCGCCTCGCAAGCGCAAGGTCCCGAGTTCAATCCCCAGTACCAAAAAAAAAAAAGAAAGAAATCAGCTCTGTTGAGGTATAATTTATATGCAGTAAAATTCACCAAACTTTTGTGTATATTTCAGTGAGTTTTGGCAAAACTGTTTAGCTGTATAACCAGCAATCATGATGTGAACTATTGAGTGTAGGCTTTCAAGCCTTCCTTTACCTGCTCTGACTTTCTTGAGCAGGTTACTAAAACCTCCCAGCACTATTTCCTCGTCTGTGAAATGGAGGTGGGCTTTCTTCTGTTACCAGATTGTTTTGAGGAGTAAGTGAAATATAATGTGACCAAACACAGTGCCTACCACATAACTGCACACAGCAATCTGTAGTCGGTGTGGTCTGTGCCTTAAATGGGATGATGCTTGTAAAGAACATAGTGCGCTGCCTAACACAAATGATTCTCAGTCAGTGAGAGCTCTGCATAGACTTGCTTGTCCAGTTTCTTCGGTCTTCCTGTTGTTTGTGCTCATTTATGTTTCACTTTCTTGGAAGAACAAAGAAGCTATGACCCCACTATGCTCTGTGTCCATCTCCTGTGGCCCTCTCACACTTGAGAAATGGCCACAGGGGTTTCTGTAAGGGTTTAAATTGATCGAGTTGGCTGGGGAGAATCATAAACCAGTCTTTCTCTGATTGGATCCAAGGAGAGAAAGGGAAATAGCTTACCTTAAACGGACCACCCCAGCATGGCAACAAGAATGTTTGCATTCATGAAATGGAATTAAATTTTATGCTGGGAATCACATCCCACCCCCCAGGGATGGCCTACTGAAGTAAAGGTTAAAAGTATTTCACTTATCAATATTAATTGATTAGATTGCTAGTTGAGATCATTTAACCGAGCCTTTTTGGGGATTTGGCCATTAAGAAAGTAATGGCTATCTGTCTTTACCCAGCCTGATTGCAAATTATGTCTTTTGCTAGAGAGGGTGGCATTCTGAAATTACTAGAGATTATAGATTTGAAAAGCACATGGTATTAGAATAAGATGCATGTGCTATTGGCTGGTTTCTTTTTTTTTATTTTTAGTGACTAAGTGCTGGAATGTCTCACCTACTATTAGATGGGATAAAAATCACTGTACTTAGCATTGCACAGAATGCCTTCCATGTATACAAATAGTAGGTGAAGGCTGAATGACTGGAAGCTGGACCTGTTTCTGTCTACCTGACAAATTTGAGGAAGCTGACTCAGGGAGGATACTTGGGATTGCTCAACTGTTATTTCCCTGATAAGCTTAAAGGAGAGCAGGCTCTACACAGCAGGAAGCGATGACTTCAAGTGTGTTGACTGACCTCACACTTTGATAAGAAACCACGCATAAAGACTGCTCTGAGCACTTCAAGTGTTTGCTGGCCTGCAGCAGGTCTCTGGGCTCCTTGTGGCAGGTGAGCACTGGCACAAAATGTTCTTCTACCCAGGAGCGTCGGGGAAGTGGTCACCACTAAGGAAAGAAGCACACTGGCTGTGCATACAGCTGTCTCGGTTGTCGCTGTAGAGGACAGTCACATAGGGAAGAGGTCACAAGCTGGCAGCCATCTGGGCCATATGTTTGAAGGAAAGAGGCAGAGGAGGAAAGAAGGGGGAGGGGAGGGAAGGGGAACAAAAGATAAGAGAGATGAGATTTTTTAGAGAGAATAGTATCATGATTTTCTGTTCACCCAGTGTTATCCTAAATAGTTATTAGCGTTTTGCTAAGTTATATTTCATCTGCCCACCATCTTTCTGTTTAAAATACACCACCTACTGGCTAAGTGTATTAAAGTAAATGGAAGACATCATATTAGTACATGTATAAATGCTATCCTAACAGATAAGGACTTTTCGCTGCCCTTCTCAATTGAATTGGTTGCCACCATTTGTAAATGTGGAGGTGGGGGGCAGGGGCAGCCGCTGTGGGAGAGGGAGCTGCCAACCTGGCCCTGTTGACGTGATTCGGCTGCTTCTGTTGTGGGTGGAAGGAATAAACTCTGTGACCTTTCCAGGGGTCTTCAGCTTATGAGGCTTAGTGGCTTTACCTTTGTATGATTCCAGAAGACCTTCCAAAGAGGGCCACTGGGAAGATGAAATAAGATCATGTGTGTCAAGCACACAGCACCATGCGTGGCACATAGCAGGCACTCAGTGAAAGGTGGCTGGGATCCCTGCTGCACTTGCTGAGTAGGGAGCGTATCTCCCCGGGGCTCCACAGGGTAGCATTTTTGCCTAAACAGTGTTCTCAGGAGTAAGTATATTTTGAACTGTTCAGACCAGTTCATCACTCGTATGATAACACTGTTCTGGGGATAGGAAAGATGGCTCTGGCTTCTTTGGCTGGAGACAGGGCCTGGACTGCACCCCGGTCATGGGACTCCTTCCCTGCAACTTGTGCTGCTAACCAAGAGTGCTCCAAAGACAGTTGGGCTTTGAGGAGAAGCCACAAGTTCCTGCCTGGGATCGGCACTGAGCCTTCTGAAAGACCCCTGCTTGTCCCCAAATAACATGGGCCATCATAGTCCTAAAGAAATTCACCCCTGGGGCTGGAGATTTAGCTCAGTGGTTTCACTGCGTGCTGAGCAAGCGTAAGGACCTGAGTTTGATCCCCGGTACCAAAAAAAAAAAAAAGAAAGAAAGAAATTCACCCCTCATTCAGAGACTCTGAGATACCAAGCGACTGGGCCCATTGAATTTCCAGTTTTCTTCCATCAGCAGTTGTGTGGTACTTGAGATTCACATATTTGTAGCTGTAGCTTGTGTTGTCAGCCTTGAATCTTGTATTCTGATTTTGAAAATCCATTCATGAAACCTACCTAATGAAAATCTGTTTAATGAAAATCCATTCATTCACTCAACTGTTTATTAAGCACCCACTGTATGCCAGGAACAGCATCAGGAGCTGTGATGTGAACAGGAGCAAAAGCCAGACTCAGCCTCTCATCTTGTGCTTTCAGGTTGGGGGATAGGAGGGTGTTGGGGGGAGTGGACCACGCATAGGTAAGTAAGTAAATGCACAATTGCAGACTGATTAAGGTGGCTCCATGAAGGTAACAAGCAGGGTCCCTGCTGGAGAACAACTGGAACATAAGTCCTCTCTGAAGATGGGCTGTGCCAGGACCAGATGTTTTTTCTATGAGAAAATGCAGAAATAAGGACGGTCAAGGTAGGAGAGAGCTTGGTATGTTCCAGCACCTTAAGGGAGGCTGATTTGGCCAAATCTCAACCACAGACTTTCCCCCAGGGATACCTGTCCTGAACATACAAGGGGTGATTGAAACATACAGTTATGTTAAAGTTTTTAAAAACTTACTACAATAAATGACACATTGCCATTAATCCTCCTCAAAATATGCCCCCTCACTTTGAACACACTTATCCCATTGTTCTTGCCACTCACTTTCTGAAGCAATCCTCTTTTGGGGGTGTCTTTACAAAATGTGATTAAAAACTATGGTGAATGCTATTGCTGAGTTCCATCCAGCAGAAAGGCCGCCTTGTGAAAACAGTATAGCGTGTCCTTGTCCACCTTATTCATCAGATCGTGCAACTTCTGTTTCTTCCCCAAAGTCAAAATGACCATGAAAGATAAACATTTTGAATCATTTCAGGACAGCCATGACAGTGCAACTAAAGACACTGAGACAGAGGACTTCCAGAGCTGCTTCAGAAAGTGGCAAAAGCAATGGCAAAAGTGTGTTCAAAGCGGGGCGGGGGGTGGGGGGGGTATTTGGAGGGAGATTAAAGACAATGTGTCTTTTACC